ATATCATGTCCGCATCTTCTACAGCAACTAACCACTAGAAAGAATGTATGCAATGTGTTAATTATTGAAACTGTCCTACCAATTCAAAAAAAATTTAAAAAATAAATAAATAGGGGTCTGGCCCTAGCTCAGTTCTTTAAGTGGCTGCTTCCACAAAGCTGTCAGCCTCAGGTTGCTGTAGTTTGATCCTCACAACTCCAGCCAGCCAAACTTGCCCTAAAGGCATCTGGAGAAAGAAAGAAAGAAAGAAAGAAAGAAAGAAAGAAAGAAAGAAAGAAAGAAAGAAAGAAAGAAAGAAAGAAAGAAAAGAGCATGTGGTAGCCTGATACATTTCCTCTGCTTCTCTAAATGTTGGGGATAATTGTCCATAGTCCAAATTAGAACTCATGCCTTAGCTCATATGCTTAAGAACCATTCTGAGTTTTTGTTTTTTTGTGTGTATAAATAAAATTCTTATGCAAGTGGTTTTTCTTTTGTTTTTAAACATTCACCAAAACAAAAACTATGGGTGATAACCTCATGTTTGAGACACTATCATTCTGAGTAATGTAATAAATCACTTCTAGTTAAACAGAAAGCTTTCCTGAAGCCATAACCTTTTAAGTTAAACAGATGGTTTTCTGTTCAATTAGACAGTTTAAAGCAGATATTTTCAAAGTAGCCATATCAGAATCTGTATCTGTCTTTAGTCACAAAAATACAATTTACTTACAAAGTTCTCCCCCAAAAAGTCTTATCTAGCTAGGCATAGTGGCACAGGCATATAATCCCAGCAGTCAGGAGGCTGAAGCAGGAGAATCTTGGGAATTCATGACCAGCCTGGGCTACAAAGTGAGTGCAAGGCCAGCCTGAACTGCATAGTGAGACCCTGTATCAAAAAGAAAAAAACAAAAATTATTATCTGTGCCAACAACTTCCCCACCTGAATAAGGTAGCAAGTCAAAATTTGGTTTGTTTGAATTTGCTAAGGAAGACTTAAGGGAACATGAAAAATTTCTCAAGACTCACTGCTTCACAGCAAGTTAATATCTGCACTCGAAAGTCAGGATTCACATATGTCTCAAGACTTGGTTCATGGAAACCTACTAAGTGGTGGGTCTTCACAATTTAGGACCTAGAATAAATGAGTGCACAAACTAGTAATCTAAACTGTTGACCTGCATTTTTTTTTCTTGACCTCAATTTGTTCTTTACATCTTGGCTCAAACTTTTCAGTATTCAGGTTACTGTTTTCAGCAGAAGCCAAGAAAACAACTTTACAGTAGTCACAATGTTATTCTAATGTATATTGTTTACTTTATTGAAAATAATGCTGAGTATTGGTCAATAAATAACTTTATATTCCTTGAAAAAAATGAATAAAGTGAGAGTACAGTGAGGCACATTTGAGGGGAAAAAATGGCACTATCACAAAAATCGCAGTTATGGAGTACTACATTGTACAGGCAGCTGACTGGTGTATGGAACTTTCTGTACAAAAATAAAAGTGAATTCTATAGCCAGTCTCATGTTAGCAGCTACAATGTAAAATGATAGCCTCCAACCAAATTTGAATTTTCCCACTTGCTTTGCTCCTAAGGCCATACCATTTATTATATCTCTACTAGCTTCTCCATGATTGGGGCAAATTACCTGACACAACTTAAAGGAGGAGAAGTTTATTGGTTCCTAGCTCCAGAGTATTCAGTCCACTATTGGCTAGCATCAAGTCAGGAACAGCATGGCAGAAGGCCATGATGTAACAGGACTGCTTAATTGTTAATTGTTAGCAACCAGGAAGCAGAGCAGAAGCATAGTGCCAGAGGGAATGGGCTGAGGTGTCAATTATAGACTCAGTGGTCAGGCCTCTACAACCCACCAGACCCATCAAGCAGTGTGCCATACAGCTTCACTGGGCAACTGCCAAACCAGTAAAATTAAACATTTAATTTAAATGTCAGCTTCACCCTTTATGGTCCTGATGTACACA